GTCCACATGAAGATGCTGCTAATTTATTTTTGTATATTTCCACCCCCTTGTAAGGCTGCCACACTCGAATGTGTTTAAGAGATTATTTAAATATTCTGACCCAAAACTCCTAAGTGTTTAATGTTCCTTCCTTCTCTTTCTGACTCTCTTACCCGACACATGTAGAAAAGCAGTAATGACCTTTTCTGTTTTCTTAAAGTTGGTACTTAGCGAATAAAGGAGTGAGACACAAGCTGATACTTCAAGATTGCCCATAGATGTCCAAAATGGACAGTTTTTCCGTGCTTTTTGTCGTGCATGTGCAAGTATGTGTATGATTTGGAGGCCGGGGGATGACACTGGGATGTCTTCAATCACCTTTCCACCTTACTTTTTGAGACAAGGTCTCTCACTGAACCCGGAGCTCAGTGTTCCAGCTGCACTGGTGATGGAGGAAGGTCATTGGCTAATAAAGGAACTGCCTTGGCCCATTTTATTGGTTAGAGGATAGGTGGGAGGAGTAAACAGAACAGAACGCTGGGAGGAAGAGGAAGTGAGCTGAGACTCGACAGCTCTCCTCTCAGGAGCAGACGCCTCAGAGAGATGCCATGCCCTGCTCCTGGGATGAAGCTCCGACCCAGGATGGACATAGGCTAGAATCTTCCTGGTAAGTGCACCTTGGGGTGCCATACACAGATGATTAGAAATGGGCTAAATTAATATGTGAGAATTAGCCTAGAAGAGAATGGGCCAAGCAGTGTTTAAATGAATACAGTTTGTGTGTTGTTATTTCAGAGCATAAGCTAGCTGGGCAGGCGGCCGGGGTGCTGGGAACGCAGCCCCGCCGCCCTTATTGCTACACACTGGTTCCATGAGTCCCCAGAGTTATGCTGATCTCTGTCCCCCAGCGCCAAGGTTGTACAATGGGCACTGCCTCACCTGGCTTTTGTGGGTGGACTGGGATCCAAAGTCGGTCTTCATGTTAGCATAGCAAGCACTCTGCACACTGAACCATCTCCTTATCCCCCAAGCGCCTTAATTCAAAATGCCAACTGAGAATGGTTTCTGTATCTGAACATGTTTAGTTTTCCTTCTTCTTCCTCCTTTTCTGAGGATAACTAAGAGAAGAAAGCCAGATTCCTGAGCTAAAATAAGAGAAAGCTAAAAGCCAGTTGGTTTCTGGAAGATGTATACAGCAGAGTGGACTGGGTTTAAGTGCCAGGGTGACTTTTAGAAGCCTCTGGTGAGCACACCCAAACGACACCCAAAGCTGCCTTGGTTTCCCCGCCTGCACCTAGCCTGGACTCTATTAGATTAGTTGAGCTTACTCCCCCAAACAAACAAACAAAAAACCTGACCCCACTGGGATTTTAATTTTCCCCCAGAAAGTATTTTTCCCTTGTCCTGAATGGATATGACCATTTTCCAGGCACTTTTTTTTTGCATATATCTGGAAAATAAATGAATGAAATGCTTCTGGGCTGCTAAACTGATGTTCCCAGCCAAAGCATCGGTGACATAGAGTGCCACTTTGGCTTTCCTGCTTCCCTTCCTGTTTTCACAGTAACAGGAGTGGTTGTCTGGAAGAAATGAGGACCCCTGGCATTGCATGGCCCTACCACCTGTGTGTAAGGAACAGTGAGGCCCTGGCTGTGTCTGTGATACCATGTAGCTTATCAAATAAACAGCAGAAAAATATTTCCACATAGCACATTGCAGAATTTTTTTCACCCAATCTATTTTACTGGACATCAGCTTCTCTTACTAATCAAGGGACATAAATCTTGCAAATGAATGGATGGCGTGCTCAGAGAAGGGGTCAGTTTGCTGCCAAGGGGGGATAAGCATATCCTACATTTCCCAGGCAAAGCAGAAATATTAGGTCAGCATGATAAGACCTCAATCCAATCCGTTCAAATTTGCAAGTTAATTCTTATTTTGCTTGGCTGATCACCAGGAATAATTAACTCTTTGTTGGTCTTTATAAATTCAATAATATAAAGACCATGGATTTGCTCAAGAAAATTGGATGTTGAAAAAGTATTAAATAGCCGGGCAGTGGTGGCACATGCCTTGAATCCTAGCATTCGGGAGGCAGAGGCAGGCTGATCTCTGTGAGTTCGAGGCCAGCCTGGTCTACAAGAGCTAGTTCCGGGACAGGCACCAAAGCTACAGAGAAACCCTGTCTCAAAAAACCAAAAAAAAAAAAAAGTATTAAATAAAAAATAAATTGGAAAAAATAATCAAACAGGCTAAAGTATGGAATGATCAAACAAAATATTTATGCTGCATTTTCTTTAGGGAGTAGAGCACGGGTGTATAGCAAAGTTGAAGGCGGGCACACACCACAGAGAGGTGTGAAGTGACAAACGTAGGGGCTGCAAGGACCACCCGCCTCAGTGTTTCAATGCAAGGGCACATAAGAGTAGAAATACATGACCAATGAGACCTCGTTGTAACATAAAAAGGAACTTCACAGAATTATGAAAGTGAATTTTATTGTTTAGGTAATGGTGTTTGGTAATAGACAATGACCAATAGAACTCTTTACATTTTAGTACATCAAAAGTAAAGGCTATACATCAGTTAATGCTGTGTGCATAGGATCTGTCTTGGTTATGACTGTGCACTGTATCAGCTATATACATACTAAGAATACATATGTTAAAGTACAAAAACATAGGAAAAGGCTAAGTAGGAAGTTATCCTTGGGTTCTAGTCATCACATAATATACACTCATTATCACACAATCACGTCACAGCTGAAAACATACCAATTAACACACATGGTGGAGTATCGAGTTGATCTGGCACAGCCCAAGTGTAGGTAACATTTCACAGGTAAAGGCTAAGTTCTGGGGCATGAACTCTGTTGATTAATCCACAAAACATACCCAAGGCATCTTCTTTTGTTTTGGGGCGGGGTGGGGGGGGACTGTTCTGACAAAGTCTGAGCTCTAATACGCATTTAACAAAAACACACTTTTGCTGCTCTGAGCTGAAGTGGACATTCTGACTTATGTGGGGATCAGCAAATGAAGCCGTCTGTGGCAGAAAAAAAATCAGGCTTTCTGGTGAAGCCAGGAATCTATCTCGATAGCCTCCAGATTTGGTAATTATTACTTGTGTCTGGTTTGCAACCTCCTTCCTTTCACTGAGTTCTAAGTATATTCGACAAAGCGCTCTCTCTCTCTCTCTCTCTCTCTCTCTCTCTCTCTCTCTCGCAGGCACACACACACTCACTCACACACGCACACATGCACATACACACTGCCTCTTTCCCGTTCACTGAGAGCCTTAGATGGAAACGGTGCCTACATTCACAAAACAAACATCTGGGTTTGGTTAACGTAATAAGGGGTCCAGAGTGGTACACGACGGCTTTCACCATTAGGAATTTCTCGGAGTAAAGAGGCCACGGGGGCCCAAATCACTGTCCCAGCCCTGCTGAGGCACATGTTTTTAAGATATCTAAAAAAAAATGTTTTATAGACCTGACTTTTGTAGTTGAAATTAAGGCCTTTGAAATATTGACACAATCTGTGTTCCAAATTCAAGGGGTTCTGTTATGAAAATTTTTGAATAAAGTTTACATTTTTATAGTTCAATTTCCAACTACAAAATAGATGTGGAGAGGGCAGGTAGAGGAGGACTAGGGCGATTCTAGAGATACCCTTGAAATTTAAGGACTGCCACTCCAAACATATTTTTTCCTCAATGTTCATGCTTCAAATTTTATAGTTCAGTAAATTAACTTGGAGCGAATAGGAGCGGTTTACACATCTTCCTCCTACTCATTCTTTCTCTGTCTTGCAGCTCCGGCGGTCTCCACACACTCCTTCCTTTGTCGTTTTGATTTGAAAATTCCAAAAAGCCCAAGGAAACCAAGCAAGCAGCATGCTCTCTGGAGTGCTGCAGGCTTCTTTTGTTACCTCTAATTGCAGTGAAAACGGAAATGGGAACCCCCCCCCCCCATCGGCCCTGGGCCTCCTTTCCCATTCTTCTAGCCCTTCCTGAGGTTTTTCCGACTTGTTTACATAATCCAAAACCTTAGATTTCTTCTTTCCCAGCTACCAAAAATTAACTGCTCATAGTGTACCATCCTAAATAAAAGGATTGATTTTAGCTATCTCTACCAGCTCACAATGCAATCACTTAAACAGCCTCCAAAGACAAAACAAACAAAATCACAGACCTTAATACTCAATTTTAAAAACACTACCAATAATAATAACATTTAAAGAGAAACTTCTCAGTTGTCGAATATAAAGAACATCTAGAAATTTCAGGCTTCCCCCCCCCTTTTTTCAGCATTTGTCCTCAGACAAAGGTTAGGTGTCTCACCTTCGATGAAATAATGACCGTATTTCCTCTAGCTTCAACTGAAACGAAATAATCAAGGTGGATTTTAAGCTCATTTAAAATTGAAGTATGTCAAGCGTTTGGAATTTTAACAAATTAACGGGGCCAATCCCAAAAGAAGCATCTGTATTATAACAATTACCAGATAAGAACATATTTTGCTAATTTAGGTTTTGAGATTTGTCCCTTGCCTGAACCTTGAATGAGGAAAAAAAAAAATCTGTTACTTGGTTTCCTGATGTCAAAACAGATTGATTTAGTCAAGCTCATTCCCTGACCTTGGACACATTTCAAATGATTATACTTTTTGGTTTATAATATGACATAAGAAATATACTATTCAAATATTTTTCTGATCAAATCATATTCATATGATGTTTATGAATTACTACGTAACAAATTTATAGGCATTGAATACTGTCTGGTGACATTAGGGGTTTTTTTGTTGTTTGTTTTTATTTATGAGACTTAACTACTGAGACCACTATTACAGTCCCGTATTTAACAGCTTAAGCTGGCCTGGCACATATTTTTTCTCTTCCCAACTGGAACAGTTCACTTTAGCAGCCAAATGGCATGTAACTTTAACTTGTAAAAAAAAATTTTTTTTACCATCTAAAAAATTTACCTTTAAATTAATTAATCTCTGAAACCTGCTACAGTTATTGAATTAACTACGAATTTCTTTTTGAGTAACTGACTTTATGGTCCATCCTAAAGTGGCAGGAACGTCTTCAGGAAGAAAGCAAACCTCAGCCAGGCCACTACAAAGGAATTAAAGTAGTTTCTCAAGTAAGTTGGTTCTTGGTGGAGAATTTCTGGTCTTCACAATTTTTCATTGAAATCACTCATCTTGAATCTTGAGTATATTCTAAACCTTTGTTTAGTGTAGGTTCTGAAAGCGTAAATTTCCGCACATAGGGGTTCCATTTCAAATCCACCTACAAGGGCAGAATTACTGAAATACTTTGTTAGGTAGTTGTGCACATCTATTGGTATATGTGCATATGTTTAATTGTAAAAAATAAAAATCCTTAGACCCTTTTTCTCTGACTCAAAAATACTTCCAGGAAGGGCAGCATGAGCCCATGAGTGTAGGGATAAGCCCAGCCCATTAGGGGCCATGTTCGCCTCGGGCTAATGTTTACTTATAAATCTAGCAAGCCTGAGCCCCACTGCTCTCTCTGCTTCCCTGTTCTCCGTGGGAACCGGTGGTTCTGTAAGTCTATTTCCCCATTAAAGCTGTATATATTATTACAATCTGTCTAAATTCATTTACGCCGATAAACATGAGGAGCCATGAACTAGTAAACACGCCTCACCTTCAGGCCACTTAGCCTCTGCTCACTTAGAGAAGTGATACCAAAAATGGAGCTGGGGAAAAAAAAAAAAACAACCCGTATTTCCCTCCCCAGGTAATGAGTCAGATCTTCTTGTAACATCTCTGCTACCCTGGCTTCTCACTGGCGAGCCTCCTCAGTTTGCAGCTTTTGAACAGCACTATCAAGGAGTTCCATGGACTCTCTGAGAGACACGTGGATTTTAAATGACTTGGGCTTAATGGTCAGGCCGTAATTGAAACTCATGTTTGAGGGCTCGTTTTGATTAGCCTTGAAGTCGCACTGGTGAGCAAGGATGGAGATAAAGAGAAACAGCAGCATCTTAGAGAGCTCTTCGCCGATGCACCGCCGTTTGCCCACGGAAAAAATCATCACACTGTTGGCTAGTTCCTTGTTGATGAAGCCGTCCTTGTCTAGGAATCGGGCTGGATCGAAGTCCTCTGGGTTGGGCCACTTGGCTGGGTCGTGGTTCACAGACCACTGGTTAACAAAAACCACCGTGTTCTTGGGGATATAGTAGCCTAAGACAAAGGTGTTGGCAGTGGTGGCGTGAGGAATGGTGACAGGCAAGAAGCTGGTGAATCGCATCGATTCATAAAGAAAAGCCATGACGTAAGGCAGGTTGGGCTGGTCATCCATGCAGGGCAGACGATCCCTACCGACAACCTGGTCGAGCTCAGCCTGCACCCGGGCCTGTACATCAGGGTATCTGTTTGGATTGCAGTATGAAAAATGGAGAGAGAGAGAGAGAGAGAGAGAGAGAGAGAGAGAGCAAAATTAGTTTAATTTACCTTTCACCTACAGCACACCGCAATTCTACTCTAATTCCACAAACTATCTAGGTCTGTGACTGAATTACAATTTCTGAAAGAAATAAAAAAAAAAAAACAGGCTAATTTCGCTCTCTCAATATGGCAAGTTAAACAACAACAATCTTATTTTTTCTGTAATAAGCCTCTTATGGCCTAGGATTTATTTCCCATTGTGAGAAGATAAAACCCTTAAGTTTTTACAGTCTAAAGATGCACGTTAGTGGCCAGACCTACTTATGTCCTGGCTGGACACAGCGCCTAGGCCCACAATACATTTTAGACTCCAGGAAAATATCTGTCTCTCTTGTAAAGCCTGTAGACCTAAATAAACGGACTTATGAGTAGAAGCCCACATAACACACTTTTCACATATTCATTTTATATCAATGTAGTCATAAGGTATTTTTGCGTGTGTTTATAGCGAAAGGACCCCCCCCACACAAAAGTTAAAATGCTGCCCTGAAAGCAGACTCTTTTCCTTCCCTTAGATCTTTAGGCAATTCATTGTCTTTTTTTTTTTTCATGAAAACATGTGCAGTTTATTTAATAGTTAAAGGCACTAAGGCATATAAAATTAAATTGAAAATTTCACAGGTAGTTGTTTCTTTTTTAATTTTAATTAATTCTTTTTTACTTTACTTTTTATTGTTTCTATTAAGCTATATATTTTCTCTGTCCCCCATCCTTCCTCCTCCCTCCCCATCATTCCTATGTTATTAAGCAATTTTGGTCTCTTGCTAGATAAAGCTACATATTTCTTCAATTTAAAGAGCAGGGCCCCAGTTTTTCAGATGGGGGTACACGTTTTACTTCTGCAGTGTTGCTGATAGAAACTGGGACAGTTCTTTGGAAGACAAAGCACAGTAAACTCTATATAAGGCAATAATCCCTTGGTCCTTCATTTTTAAGCCCAATTATTTATCCCTAGGGGCCTCCTTTCAGAAAATAACTTATTGGTATAATATATATATAATCATAACAATACTTAAAATGTAGTCAAAACCCACAATTAATACTAAAGCTCAAAACTGATTTTACATATGTACAATATTAGTACAAGATATTATGTAGCCTTCAAAATCACTAAAATCCAGGCTGGAGAGATGCCTTGGTGGTTAAGGGCGCCAGCTGATCTTTCAGACTTCCTGAGATAATTTCCAGCACACACGTGACCACTAACTGGAGTTTGTAACTTCATTCCCAAGGGATCCGCCCTCCTGGCCTCTTCAGGCAACAGGTATGCGCTGGATATTCAGACATACACTCGGGCAAAACCTTCATATATGTCAAAACAAATAAAGTTTAAAAATCGTTTCGAAAGAAAAAGAACATACTAAAATCAATGCTAACCGCCCAGGAAGTTTAAATGGAAGGCTCAGAAGGAGTGGGGGTGGAGAACAGCTGCAGTGACCATTTAAGTGGTGTTTAAATACTGAGAGATGCTAAAATCAGAACTTCCCAAAGCTTCCCAGGAAAGGCCAAATGGTAAGCATTTTGATCGCATGGACCAAACCCTCCCACCAACAGCTACTAGTCCAACCTGTAGTGTGAAAGCAGACACTATTATAGGAGTGGATCAACCCGCTGCGTCAGTGAAATTTACACTCTAAACAGGCGTTGTAATTTGCCCACTGATTATATTGCCTCTTCACGAAAAAGAAAAAATAATGTCATCTTTAACTGGCAACGACCCCAAAATTATTTTTATTTCTTCGGAACACATGAAAAGCTGCTTATACAGCTCAATACAGATTCCCCCCCCCCAAAAAAAAGGGTACACACTTATTTTGAAATGGGAAAGACCTGGCGACCCAACTCCAAGGCCTTTTTCCTGATCTTGGGTTGAATTCCCTTTCTTCTGTTTCGGCCTCCCTTGCCCCTAGGTCGCAATATTTCCAATATATGTTTTCACAATTTGACTTTACTACTAAAAAGTTATTTTAAATATAATAAAAATGTGACGTAGAACATCTAAAGAAAGACGAATTGTGTAAATCCCAACAGGAAACGGACTCTTTCTGCTAAACTCGGAGGGCTACGCATATTCAGTATCCCTTAAGTGCTAAGAAACGCAGTAGGGTTTCCAGATAAAATACAGGCTAAATCAGAATTTCAGGTAAACAATAGGTGATCTTCAAATTCTCACAAAGGATTCATTTGCTTAGATCACCTGACAGCGGAGGTGGGGGAGACTTCTTAATCCTTGCAGGCAGCCTTGCAGGACTGTAGAGGTCTGTGCCCTGGCCCAGAGATTAGGATGGCCCCGGTGCCAGAGACTTCTCTCTAGATGCTGTAGCAGTCACAGAAGTGCCTGCTCCGACTTGCTTTGCGTCAGCCGTCGGGTAAACCTTATTCTCAGGTTGTCCTCTGAGGGCCTGCCTATGCTGGCTTCCTTTACCTGGTAACCAAACCCTGCCCGGTAGCTGGGTGTTAAGACCGGGGCTGGACAGCCTCGGAAGTGCCAGCCGTGCGCCGCCGTGTTTAGTTAACATTCTACTGCGCCTCCTTAACCGTGGAACGGGTCCAATTCTGTTTCTATTGAGCCACAGAAGAATCAAGATTGATCTGCCGCAAATGACAAAAAGATCTTGTTTTTGCGGGCAAGGGCTCTTCATAAATTTGTTCCCAGTCACAAGAGGAGGGGGGAGGGACAGAGACAACGCTAAAGAAGCTGGCAACGCTAGGTGGGGAAGGCATCGCAATTGGCCCCCTTGATCGGGACTTATCTTCCCTGAGATCTCAGTTTTAAGGAATGGGGGGTGGGGCAGGGTGAAACCTCAAACCCCGCGCCCAGCTAGTGACCTTTTAGCCACACGCCCCTTTTCAAAGGAGAAAAGCGCAAGGCCTGACCCATCCCTCCTGGAGGCTTTACCTGGTGAAAAGGATGAGCAACCAGAGCAGCGCGGTGGAGAGGGTGTCCTGGCTGGCTCCGAAGATGTCCGTAATAGTGGCCGGCACGTTCTCCAAGTCCAACCCGAAGGGACCCTCGCCAGCTCCCCCGGCCTCCTTCTTTTCTGCGGAGAGGATGAAGGCGTCCATCATGTCACGGGGAGCAGCTCCGGGTACCAGGCTTTCGCGGTGCCTGAAGAACTTGTCCAGGACAAAGTTGGTGAAGTTGCGGTTGAGCTGTTCGAACTCGCGGAAGGTGGTGCGCACCGGGTTAGGGAAGAGCTGCAGCCAGGGCAGCACATCCACCAGGCTGCCCGCGCCCACCGTGCGCCCGAACTCTTCGTTATGGCTGAGCAGTTCCAGGAACTCGGCATCATCGTGGTTGTAGCGGCAGCCGAAGCACACGGCGCTCATGACATTGGCCACGGCCACGATGATCGGTTGCGTCGGATCCAGGACGGCACCGCCTGAGCAGCGTCGCACCAGGACCGCAATCAACTCTCGCGCCTCGCACAGCGCGTGGCCCTCAAGGAGGCGGCGGCTGCGCGGGTGGCGCGTGGAGAAGGCGCGCATCGTGCCATAGGCCGCGCGTCGCTGCGCCTTCCAGCGCTCGCAGTAGGAGCCGAACGCCAGGCTGCGGCCGCCAGACACCACGCGGAAAGAGGCGAAGGGCGGCCGGTCGGCGAAGATGCTGCTCTGCTGCACCAGGGCTTCGTGGATGGCATTCTCGCCATTCAGCACCACCACGGGACAGCTGCCCAGACGGATCTGGAAAACGTCACCATAGCGCCTCGCAAGGCGAGCGAAGTACAGGTGCGACGCCCGGCCCACAGACGCCGCGTTTCCGATCAGTGGCCATGGGAAAGGACCCGGGGGCGAGGACCACGGTTTCCGCCGCCACTGTCGCACCAGCCACTGTCCCAAGTGCACAGCGGCCAGGACAGAGAGGAGTAGCAGAAGTGTGGTCTGCTGGGTAGACAACGGGTTCAGCTGCTGCGGGCTGTCTGCGCTAAGGCTGGTGGCCATGCTGGGGACACAAAGGCAAAACGTGGCACTCAGATGTGGAGAGAGAGAGAGAGAGAGAGAGAGAGAGAGAGAGAATGGGTCCCAGCATCAGCATGGGACTATAGAACTCTGTTGAATAGAGAGGAGGCGGTGCCTACCTCGGTCAAGGATGGCTTTCTGGACAAGATGCTTAAGATACCCTTCCATACCCAACCCAGCCTCCAGCAGAAACACGCCAGCTTCTGAATCCCCAGCCGCCTAACGGTTCCCAGAATTCCGACACAAGGCCAGTGGCAGACACAGAGGCAGGTTTCTTTTAAAGTGCCTAACACCCCGGACCCCTGACTTTCAAGAACTGGTTTAAAGAGGCCCAAGGAAGGTGGCTCCGCCGACAGACTGACCTGCGATGAAGCGTGGTTTTCCAGCGGTGCAGAACAACCGGCTCTGGGAGAAGCCCTGAAGCCTCTGCCCACAGCAAGACTTCAACCTGAGAGTCCCCCCAGGGACCTGGAGGCCCGCCCTAGACACCTGATGCCCCGCTGCTTTAGCACCCACTCTTGGCTCAGTCAGAACCTAAACTTGGATTGGGTTGGAGGAAAGGAAGGAAAAAGTGTCTCAAGTTTGCCGGGCTCCACTGCACCTGGGGCTCTGCAAAGTCGGGGCTTTCTCACGGAGTTGGAGCTGCGGTTGAGATGGGCGGGGGTTAGGAGTTGGTAAACTGGAGTCAAATCCTAGGCTGAGGGAGACTTTCCAGCTGGCGTCGCAGAGGTATCTGCAATGCGCCCCAGAGGTGACACGCGCCACCCCTCTACCCGGGGTTTTAAGGGCTGGGTAGAGAGGAAACGGGACCCTGAGGGGTGGGGCGTGAGGGGCGGGGCGCCGTGAAAGTCTGGGACTTGGACTTGGATTCTCAGGTCTCATGTCCACGCTCAGGGTGACCCAAGGATGGTTCAATGGAAAGTCCGCTCCGCGTGCTCGGACCGTTCTGGAAAAAGTAGCTGGCAGTTTTGTTGGAAGCCTCCTTGAAAACTTTTCCCGTGGCGATAAGGGCTTGTCATCAGTTATCCCCCAGTCAAGACCCCATGATTTCCCCAGAACCGAGCTTGGGACAGAATTTCCCACGCTTCTGCGCGCTTGAGCAGAAAGCACCCAAGAGCACGCCCTCCTTCTCCAGGTGACTCGAGCTTGGTGCCTTGCTCATGATCCTTAGGCACCAAGCCAGAAAAGGAAACTTGTCATTTTTTAGGTACCGCGGTAGCTTGGTTTGAGACGGTTTGTCTGGCATTTATTTTTATCTGAAGGTTTTGCAAACCATTTGGCCCTACAGTCGTGGCCCTTTGTGTGCACAGATCTCTTTCCACCTCTGCTGGCGAGATCAGGAAACCCTGAAAGCGGCTGCCCTACCGCTCCAGGCGCGGACCACCCTTCGGCGGCACACAAAGCACAGCTGGCCTGGAGGGTTCCCGTTTTGAAAAGATAAGGGCCACGCCACCTGCTGGACGCGCTCTGGTCGCACTCAGGCTCTGAGCCAAGCTTGAGGCAGTTCTGGAGTGCGAGACCTAAGAGGGGGCGGTGAGTGGAAGGAGGAGGCAGCTCTGCAAGCCTGCGAACGTTCGGGTTGAAAAGTTTCTGCTGTCACCTCCCCCTTGCGTGCGGAGCTGTGCCTTGCGTGCGCCGCTTCTGGGAAATAGGGCTCCAGTCATCTCCCTGGGCGCTGCTCGTGGCCGCCCCTCCCGCGCTTCTCACGCCACCTGACACGCCGAGGCGGCGGCCAAGGGCGGGGTGCCTGCCGCCACCACCCTTGGCGACGCACGCACAGCTGTGCCCCCAGGGCCTGCCCGAAGGATGCTCAATCGCTGCTGGCTTCTCGACCCTCGTTCCGGCAGCCTGTTTCCCAAATGCGGGGCTGCGGACCACGGGGACGCTTCCCAGGGTGACTCAAGGTCCTGGAAGCAGTTGCTCCTGTTCTTACCGGTTAAGGCATAGAATCGTACTTTCAAAACACCTGTGAGAACAAGGTTTCTGCCAGGCTCTGGAAAGGGCCAGCCATAGAAGAAGTAGATTGTTTCTCGTTAATCAAGCAGGAATTGTAGCTCCGGGCCATTGGTGTGATCCCCGGACAACCCACTCCCAATGCTTTGTTATTGTCTCTTTTACAAAAAACAGATCCAGAGAGATTATGGCACTTAAGTCACACAGTTCTCTAGAAGTGGAGACAGGATTTGAACTCCCAAAGTCCCACTCCAAGTTCCTCATACAGGTTTATACGGAGTAAAAGCATACTTAAGAGGCCCAAAGTTGTCTTTCTTGCTCAAAATAAATAATATATATCATATATAATTTATATGATATATAAATATAGATAGATAGTTTTTTAATCAGCCAAGAGCTAGCCAGAGGCTCAACAGCAGAGTGCTCTGACCAACAAGCCTGACCACCTGAACTGGATGCCTGGCTCCCACAAGGTACGAGGAGAGAACCAACGTAAACAAGTGATCCTTAGATCTCCCCACCTGTGCCAAAACACACAGACACACACATAATAAATACAATACCTTTTCAATCAGATGGAAGAATCAGATGCTCTTTGTTCATGGCCGAGGGTTGAAAGACTCACAAAGAAAAGGTATGCTTACTACACTTAAATTGGCATTTATGAGAGAGGCCAGTGGGCAGTGCCTCACAGCTGACGCTGGGATAACTGAGTACATTCTAAAGAAACTTAACGAAGGTGTCTGAAAAAGTGTCTAACATCTGTGAATGAAATGCCTGGCCTGCTAAGAAAATGCCTTTTTATAAGTGTTTTCGGTAACTTCTGCTATTTTCTGAATGGGATTTTATAGACACCACAGTCAAGTACTCGGACCAGAGATGAAGTTGGCCTGCGGGGCAAGAGCATTAGTTTAATAATAAGCCTTGGTTTCTCAGAACTGCACTACTCCAACGTGTCTGTCTTAATTTGTTTTTCTCATGTTGTAACAAAAGGCTCGAGACTGGCCCATTTACAGAAGAAAATAGGTTTATTTGGGATCACAGTTCAGTTAGCAGGAACGCCAGCCCTCCAAGAGCATTATCCCAGCTCCTGAGAAGAGTGAGAAGGAAGGGGGCAGCCATGGCCACAGTCCCTTAGAGCAGAACGTACCAGGAGAGGCCACAATGCAGCTCCCAGTGTCTAGACGTTCCCACTAGGCACCAGCACTACACTGAGGAATTAAAGGGGCACCCATGCACTCTTTGGAGACACGTGCAAACCTTACTTCCAAAGGAGGTTTGTGACAACTTTTGATCCAGCTTTGCAGGACCCTGACTAGTGACCTGGGACTCGGCTCCCACCAAAGCACTAGGTTAGGAGATAAGAATCTACAACCAGCTGGTGCACATTCCGAGCGCATCTCACAGCATCTCTGCCAGAAGTAGAGAAGGTGGAAGCTGCCTTCAAGCCAAGTCAACTGCTGTTTTAAAATATAAAGCAAGGCTAGAACTCCTGTTTAACAAATGCTGGGTAGCTTTTCGATCACCGTGTGCACACCTGCCTGCCACAGCAAAATGTTGTCCTTGGGCACAGCTCCTGTGCTAGAACAGGGTCTCAAAAAGTAGAGGAACCAGGTGGACCAATGCTGTCAGGTGCTGTCAGAGAGATAGGCTCTTATCAAAGAAGATGCAGACACTGATGTGACTGGCCATAGTGCACCCTCATCAGGTCTCAGTCTCTTCCAGGCTTTTTTTTTTTAGTACAAATGTCACCGAAGGGGCTGACTACTTAGTCCTCAACTAAAACTTTAGCATAAATGTAGATAGGTATATAGATAGATCCATCCAAAGTACTGATATATATTCCTAATCCATCTCAAAATGGAGTTCTGTTCTCTCTTAGCCAAGCATCCGTGTTGGGGCTTTGGGATAACCATAAGAATTTCTCAGCCAACCTGTGGATCCTAGCTTAGAAATCCCCTCTCCGTCAACAAAACAGAAAGGGTGAAGGATTTTGCCCTCTGAAATCTCAAACTTGATTTATTTTCTTTTTGTTTTTTTTTCTTTCCTGAAACTAACTTTCAGAAAGAGCAGTTAAGTAAGAGAATGGTTTAAAGTGGGGGTTTTTGTGGGGTTTTTTTTGTTGTTGTTTGTTTTTGTTTGTTTGTTTGTTTTTTGTTTTTTTATTTTTCGAAACAGGGTTTCTCCGTAGCTTTTGGCTCCTGTCCTGGAACTAGCCCTTGTAGACCAGGCTGGCCTCAAACTCACAGAGATCCACTTGCCTCTGCCTCCCGAGTGCTGGGATTAAAGGCGTGCGCCACCACCGCCCGGTTTAAAGTGGGGTTTTTTAAAATGCTTTATAGTGTATTGACTCCAAGACCCAGCTGAAGTTCACACAGGGCAAAAATGCACCAGCTTAGAGGATTAGTTAAGACAGCTCACAGCCTGGAACAACCCAGGCAAAGCGGCTCTTTCTTGCCTCTACTTCTGCTGATTTTCGTTCTTCTAATTCCTTCACATGCTGGGCGGGGAAGCTGGCTACAGGCAGCCTTCCATTGGAAACCCTGAGAGAAGGAAAGCATCTCTTCCAAGGTCCTAGAAGGACTCTGAAAGGCCAGGCTGGTATTTGGGTTTCACACTATAGTTAAGAACTTGTTTTATAATCAGAAAAAGTAAGATGGGCAAAACACCAGGAAGATAAGGAGCCACCACAATCCCCCCATCTTTCCATCCATGCACAGAATCCTTCTCACATCTCCCATTCAAGGTTCCAAGACATAGACACAGCAGTTGGTGAAGTGACCCTGTAGCTGCCTGTACCAACAACAGCCTCCCCAGCCACTTCACTTCCTCCTTTTTTCTTGGCTGCCTTCCTTTAAGGCCTTTTTTCTTCCCCTTTGTTCTTGCGGTCTCATTTCCCCTTTCCCTGGGTCCATTTCCAGCTTCCGTGTCTCCTTTCCTCTCAGGCAAACTTTTCTCCAATTTCCCTACCTTGCAGTTCTATCTATCTGTAACTCTATCTCCCTCCCTCCCTCCCTCCCTCCTTCCCTTCCTTCCTTTCCCCTTCTCTTCTTTCTTCCTTTCCCCCTCCATTTGAAGGGCGGAAGCCAGCACCTTACCCAGGCCACACAAGTATCCTATCACTGAGCTACATACACCCTGGCCTCTCTGCCCACCCCACACCCCATACAAACCCATGCCCACATACTTTCTACTTTCTTTGAATCCTTTTCTTTCTCATGGAAGAGTAAAGAGCAGACCAGGATGGGGGCAGAAAAGTGGGAACAAAGAAAATAAGAGGAGGAGTAGGGGAAAGAGGGACTAAGAAAAAAAGAAAGGGAGCGGAATGCAAACTAGTCGGTCTAAATATTAAACTTTGTGATCATTCCATCTAGTGTTACAGCCATTGACTAGAACAACTGGGCACAGCAATGGGGCCATGGGAGAAGAAAGGATGCCATGGTCTATGGTTGATTTTGCGCATCTATCCTCTGGGGTTCTGCCACAGCCTGGTCCAGTTCTGAAGTGTTCCTCTTCCCCCTGATCCTTTGACTTCATATGAAACTCTGTAGACAAACGAGGGATATTGTTTTTCGTTTTCCTTTTCAAAAGTTAAGTGCTTACTAGGTTACTAAGAAAATATATATTTCGACAAAGTTCCCATTTAAAAAAAAAAAAGAGAGAGAGAGAGAATGTACACTTGGCTCCGGGAAAGCGAACAGCAGATCCCAGCTTCAGGGCCAGGCTTTTATTTTTGTTCCTTTAGCCTCTTAATTTTGATATTATATTTGTCTTTTT